GCGCTGGCGGCGGCGGCCTTCCTGCGGAGGCTCCACGAAGTAGCGAGGCAGCTCGCGCTGCGGCGGCAGCTGGCACTAGCGGAAAGGACGCTCCCTGGCGGAGGGCGCTCCGCTGCGGAGGCGGCATCCTGCGGAGCGCTCCCTGCGGAGCGCGCTCCCTGCGGACGGCGCTCCCCTGCGGAGGCGCATCCCTGCGGAGCGCGCTCCCTGCGGAGGGCGCCTGCGGCAGGCGGCTGCCTGCGGCGGCGCTCCTGCGGAGGCGGCTCCTGCGGCGGCGGCTCCTGCGAGGCAGCACCCAGCGGCGCGTCTCCCTGGCGGAGGCGGGGCTCCCGCATGCGGCGGCGCTCCTGCGGAGGCGCTCGCTGCGGAGGCGCTCCCTGGCGCGGCGCTCCTGCGGCGGCCGCTCCTGGCGGAGGCGCTCCTGCGGCGGCGCTCCATGCGGAGGCGCTTCCTGGCGGCGGCGCCTCCCTGCCGGCGGCGCTTGACCCCTGCGGCGGCGCTCGCCGCGGCGGCGCCCCTGCTCCCTGCGGAGGCGCTCCCTGCGGAGGCGCTCCCTGCGGGGCGCTCCCTGCGGAGGCGCTCCCTGCGGGGCGCTCCCTGCGGAGGCGCTCCCTGCGGCAGAGCGAAGGGCTATGGCCCACTGGGGACCAGCAAGAACAAGTCCGCACCTGCAGCTACAGGCCAGCATACACGCGGCCATTGACTATATATATACTACTATATATATCTTGCGCCCTCGGCGATGCGGTGTGGCTTGCTGGGAGATTGGAGCTGGGGCTGCTGCTGATTGCGGTTGGCGTGCGTGCGTGGGGGGGCATACCAGCTGTAAATAGGTCAAAGATTAGCTCGCCGAGTGTTGCGTCGATGTCCAATCTCCCAGCGAGCCACACCGCATCGCTGAGGGCGCAAGAGTCGTTAGTAGCTGCCTATTGTTTCAAGTTAGGCAGGTTATGGAGTCGATCTGCTGCCAACAGAATGGAGAATCGTGTCGTACGTTTTAGTCTGTATCTCCGGATTGCAGGTGTATACAAGGAAATGATTTCGCACGATGCTAGGCGAATGTTCTGTGTACGATTTGAGCTCAACTTGGTTGAGTTATGCATAGTAAATCATAGGTATTCTAAGGCTGGTAAATGAAGAATTTCCCTTGTTTATTGAAGTCACACTCCTTCCCTATTATCTACTTCTGATATTATCGAAGACGTATAATTTTATCTTGTTGCTGTGTTTGGTGTCAGTTATACTAGATGGCTTTTAGTTTTACTCTTGGATGCTCAAGAGTCTCACGAGTATTTTAACATTAAATATGTATATGTTGATTGTTTGTAACTTTCTTTTGGTTATGTTGGAAACACGTCTTTACAGATTTGACCTCAGCTTGAATGGCATCGATCCTATATGTGAGGATGAGACAATGCTTCTCGGAGATCTGGGTATCATATCCGGTGACTTAATAAAAATATTGCCATCTGAGTCTGAACAGGTAAATGTCATGAACACATCTATATACAAAATGCAGTTTTATAGTGTATTGTGTAGATGCAGTAATTCGTGTCTGTATCATGGAAATATCTATACAGTGAAAATGACAGAACACATATCTGCTCTTGGGGAAATAATGTGATTTCAGAAATCTGGAAAAATTTTAATAGGTGCTACCAATGCTAATGTTTCGATAGATATATTTTGATGGTTGCAAATTCTAACTGATAGAGTTTTTCTATCAATTTGTTCCTATTGTATGCATTTAAACGTTGTGGGCGTTGTTGCTGTGGCAGCTTGTTTAGCTGTCTTTCATGTTCATTGTATAGTTGTAGTCATCAACATATATTATACGAGTTCTCAAGTTTACAGACTCTGCTTTATTTAAATTTTATAAAATGCAGAATTGGTTTCCATAAATGTTATAATTATTATACCAGTATGTGTTGCACAGGTACATAATATATTATTTCTAATTTAATTTATTGTAGAAATGTGAAAATCTTGGAATCGGCATAGTGGAGCATCATCTACCTTCAATGTCTGATGTAGATATGGTGCCAGAGGAATGTAAAAGTGAGACTCACGCGGAATATAATGTTGCCAGCAAAACAGAGGCGCAAGGAACAAACGAGTGCAGTTGTACACAGGTTGAGTGCCAATCATCTGATTCAGATATGCCGTGCGGAGGGAGCACAGCCGTATTGGAGAAACAGATAGATGAACAAACTTTAATCGAAAATGAGCAGATTGTCAATCGTTATCTCAGAGAACCAATGTTGGTGCGAGATTCTTATGGAAATGTGATTCCCCACAGCCTGCAGATGTTGCTATCGTCGGAAGACGTAGAGACAGTGACAGATGCAGTGTGCATTGTGGTTCATCAGTTGATGTTGGAGTCTGGATTCTTCGTAAAGGTATGATATAACTTAAAGCACACGTCCACCCTAGCATGTCTGTGAACTTCATATGTGAGTCGGAACAATCGGAAAATATCATGTAGATTCTGATTATATAGAATTTCTATAATTAGGAAATTTGTAATGCGATTGAATGCACAGAAGAAAGAAAGAAATTAACCAACGAGATAAAAGGTTTATTCGTGACGTTGTAATGGCGTATGCAACCCGTGTGATTGAACGAATATTTGTTAATTGCAGAATTGTAGCAACCACCATATGCCAGAAGATTGGAAAAATAGGAGCTCCAGTTACAAGATCAATTATCAACATCCAGATACAAATCAGCTCATCTGCACTCTTCTCATTGTTCCTCTTAATCCACGTATTATGGTGATGCATGGTAACTTTTTTGTTTACGGCTTAGCAAATCAGTAAAGTATAGCTCTAGTATTTTTAACGTAATTATGATCAGGTTATTTAATTATTGCCCTTTTTGTTTGTTTGCCATTTTCAAATCGCACTATTTTTACATGTGTGTTAAATTTTAAATATACATTTAATAACAAATACATATACCATTTGCTCAAAACACTGTGTATTAGTACATCATAAATTTGTCCCGTTGATGACAAATTCCTCACTCTTGCCTGAATGTATTGGAAATTTACACCTCTACCTATTGAATGTAAATTATATTATTGTTCATTGATTAACACAACAAAATTAGCTAGTGCAATGGCAAAATTGCTATATAAGGAAATATGTATATTGCAGGAATGGTTCAACCAAGTATCCATTACTGCACGTTGAAAGTGGATATTAATAGCTTTGTGGACTCGCAGGCGGATAGTATTGGTAGCAGACATGTAGGCTACAAGAAATTGTCAAAATTGTCACAGATGGTGAAAGATATTTTGGCATACCCTCTGCTCATTGCCATGCAGCAAGGTCAGTTGATTTCATGACGAGCTTTCATTTCATTTAAGTTTCATCAGTGGGAAATACTCTTAAAAGGTAATTGCTGTGCGAATGAGTAAGTTTCTTTCTGTGAGGAATGTCTATTATTTGTCATGTACAGTAAATAACTGTGTTTATTTTAGTATGTCTACTGACTTCTTTCTCAATTCAGAAATGCACTGTCATTGTTATCTACATTTTGTGATGTGGTTCTATTTTAGAAGAAGGAGTGTCAATCAAAAGTGGCCTTCTCGGTCTTGTGCCGGAAATAAAGGTAAATCAAACTCAATGGAGTTTCAGCAAGGGATATCTTGCTCTTTAGCTCTATCCATTTTTTGGTCAATTCAGATGTAGTTTTTAGAACTGGCCTTATCTAGTCCATCCTGTTGGCTGCTTCAATACAAACATCACAATCGTTTTCCTCTCATAGTTGCTCGTCCTAAGTTACTTGGACTCGTCTAGCCTACTCAAAGCATCTGAGGTTAGCCAAGAGCTCTACAGTCTGTCGAGAGAACAGGTTCTGTGGAAGCGACTGTATATGCGGGAGTTCGGGAGACGACATCGGGTGGAGCCCGGCAGCCATGACTGGTTGAAGGTTAGTTACTACCAGGTCCCATTTAACGAGCTCTAATCTAACGAATACGAGAAAATATTCATTTAATCAATGATACGTAACAGGAAGTGTATCACTTGATACAAAAAATCGATAATAAAATCGGTGAGCGAACTAACAACAATATCCGTGGCCACCTATGTCGTTTACTTACCTCTATCTCGTGATGTGACCAAGTTTTTAGTTCTTTTTTTTTTTAGCTTTATTATAGTAGACTTCTAACATTTTGAATCACTCTCCTATAATCTAATTTAATAATCTGTAAAGTATGAGATATGTATAATTGTTTTGATGCCAAAATTTGATGAGAAAGATCAGAATACACAGTTCTAACGCTTGTTACATTCCTTCTATACCTAACTCGGGCCACAGGTACACAAGTCAGTTTTTTTCCCTACTCAGTTGTATAAAGACGAATACATTCAGAGGAGGGAAGAAAGGAAAGCAAAACACAAGCGTTCCTCCTGCTACTTGCACAGTCGTCCGAGACACCCTTGCTTGCCACCGTATCCTGTCGGCCCTTCGTTTCCTTTCCCAAGAATCATCGGCGGTGACTATGACATCCATCCATTTATCCCTGGACTGTTTCCAAATAGTAAGTAATCGTGAATGTTAATAACTTAGTAGCGGCATGCACTATGATCTCCGGTTACATATTTCGTTACTATCGACTCAAGATTCTTGACAAGATGTCTACAAACGTAAGGATGATGTTTAAAGAAATGTGTATTGCTAAACTGTGATATTGCTCTCACATGTATCAATAGCATCTGGTGTGGGGAGTAAGTCTGTGCACTACCTAGTATTATTGCACTTGCTCATAGGTGGTGTGGAAGATGGGATGACTAGTTTTCCAATGCTCGGCCATCCTCTAAACCGGACAACACGTGGGTCTCGCAGAGTCATGCCAAGGTTTCTGTGACGGGTAGAGCAGCGCTCGTGCTGTAGACTCTACCATTTCACTGCTCTGGCGGAGTTCATATTGGCTGTATTATATTTTAAACACTGGGAAAATTGACATTTCAATGCTGAGCTTTATTTACATATAATGTCGTTATGCTGCTAAGTTCACAAGTACAAGATCATTAGTACCGTACATTTCAATAACTGCAAGTATTTTTTATCACGTAGTTACAGGCAAAAGCATGTAAAATACTCTATTTCATTGTAAAAAAAAACTAATTATACAAATACTTGCATCAATTATGTGTCACGTTTATCATTTGTATATAAAATGACAATTTTTCGCAAATCTATTCTATAAGTATGTATTTGATTCATACTACGTATAACAGCAATGAAAAAATAAAATCAAGTCCACATAAAATTACAACATTACCTAATTGCCTAATAGTTATAATAATCAAGCACCTATTTCATAGAACCAGTATCAGTTCAATTCAACATAATAATATAAACAGTCACAGAAAGAATTATGTTAACACCTTCATTAGCACTTAGCACCTCGATTCTGTATTTTGTATAAAATCACACAGCAAAAAACAATCCCTCACTTCTTGCATCTTGTAACGAATTGGGCCCGTAGGTGGCGCAATCAACGGTCTACGAAAGCAAACTGTGCGGGCTTGTCCGGTCTCAGCAACAGTCTGTAAATCTGTTCCATCTGTCCGTGCCGATACTCTATGCGGTACCTCTGCAGTAGTCTCGCGATGAGCACCCACATGTCCTGCTCTGCAAACCTGCGCCCTACACAACGCCAGCATACACAGAACTTCAGTAGACTCTGGTGAACATTTCCCTGTTTAATTCGCTAACGCAGCTTTTTAAATTCATCTGACATTCTCAGCTTTACATACACTAGCATCGGTTACACGGACCATTTAGATTAATTATCAAGGTTATATTATGTATAGTTAAATCCGTACATGGGGGGTGGGGTACACGTCTAGAAATGCACATCAGAAGGCACATTCAGAAGATCGACTTGATACCCATAAAGCACTGGCACTATCAGCAACGGTCATACGGTTAAGCCACTCAGGTAATTGCAATAATTTCGGTTACCTGCACACATCCGTGGTCCGTGACCGAAGGGCAGCAGCACGTATGGGTGAACGTTTCTCGCTGAACCTTCACCATCTCTCAGCCAGCGCTCGGGAAGAAATTTGTCGGGTTCCTCAAAATAGTGCGCTGATCGCAGGAACACATAGTTGTTCAGCTCAATGTGTGTCTGGAAAATTCAAAATGCTACAGATTGACTAGTGAACTTTGGGCAACAGGCTTATTCTTATAGGTGGTAACAGCTGGTTATAAACTGGATGAAGCTACTGGAACTCACACAGCTCATTTTTGTGCTTACCCCAGCAGGAATGTGATATCCACCAACAACGAAATCTTTTTGCGGTATCCTAGAAACTTCTGTTCCAACTGGGAAGAACCTACAGAATAGAAACAGAATTAGAACTACCTGGGGGTCATTGTCAGAATCATTGTATTAATGATTTACCTTAATGAATTAATGAAGGATTAACGAATACCTTATTTAATATTTCTTAGTAGAACACATGTACGTTATCATGAAATTTTTTCCCATAGGTATTATTTATGCGATAAATGATCATGATCTCTATCTATTTCATTTTGGACAATTAACTAATTTGACTGAGGGTTTTGTGATCAATTCTCATCTAATCAGTGGTCTTGTGACAGCAAATTACTAAGTTCCTGTTATCACAAGTTGGCTTGCAGCTATGACGTATTTCTGCCAATACTATTCTCACATCATAACATTATATTAGTCACAAGTATTATCGTAATATTGATTATATTAATAAATTTATGTTTCTGACAATGGGCCCTTACTTGACAGATATAAAAGACCATTGGTAAGTGGGTATAACATTCATAAACTCTTCCACCACATCATACCTGAAAGCTTCTTTGACACATGCCTTGAGATATGTGAGTTTTCCTAGCATAGCGGTGGTAATGGGGCCTTCCTTTGGTACTACTTTAGACACTTCTTTGAATACTTTATCCTGAACTTCTGGATTAGCAGCCAAGCAGTAGAGATTTCCAATAAACACTGGAACAGTCTGTGGACATTAGGCGACTGCAATTATAATCTTTCAATGCTAGCTACCTTTCTTATTTCATTGTCCTGCAATTCTAGTGATGAACAATACAACGGTTACAACAGAACCACAAGGACATATTTCAATATCGTATTACATCTTTTTATATCTATCTTCAACACTGTCTGCATCTGTAAATTACATTCATGCCTAAGTACAAAGTAGAGCAGGAAAAGGTAAGATTCGTACTGTGCTCAATCCATCAGCAAACAGTGACAGAGCTATGATTGCTACATCTTTGTCATCCAATTCTGATCTCGATAAAAGATAAGTGATGAAGCCATATTCGTCTGCTTGCAAATCTTTTTTCTCGATGCGCTCTTTCACTTTAGCCACCGTCTCATCAATAAGTTTCAAGACGGTGCTGTGCATATAAAAATAACATTGTAATGATTAGTGAAAACCTGATAGTATCGCAGTGCCACCTATTGTCAGAAATCGACTTCAAGTAAAAAAAGACTTACCCAACAAAGAAATCTTCAGCATTCACCAGCCTTTTCCACTTTGGCGTTGATATGTATTTATACAAAGGCAGAGAAAACTTCAGATCACATGACAGTTGGAAGATCTGTTGGTTTGCCTCCAACATTTTCTCTGCTAGAATCTCCTGATCTTGCAAGAAACCCAGGCGTTTGAAGAACACCACAGCTCCAGAAGCTGAAGATAGATAGAGAATAATATCAAGCTCATTGCCTTAGCTGTGGTTGTCTAAAACTCCAATAAGAATAATGAAATACACGTGCTAAATTTCGTTGAAATTGGGGTTTATGAAATACTTTATTTATACAAATATTTTACACTCTAGGTTCCATTTTCCCAGTTCCTTGTTGAAGTTTGGAATTTCATCATGCGAGTCCCTCGTTGTCACCATTCTCTCTACAAATTCAGTTGCAACCTGTATAAGTACAAATCACATTACACATTTACTGACTTCTTTCTAGAGACAGTAGTCCAATGCAACCAGACTTTGCACAGAAGACGATTTTTGTATTATGGACAATAATTGGATAGTAAGTGCTGTTAAAACCATTACTTCTTGCACAAGTGGAAGGAAATCCTGCACACTTTTTGGCCTCATCATCATCTGCTGTACTGCACTTCTTAGTCTGTACCATTCTTCCCCATTGCTGAAGATAAAGATGATAATGAAAGAAATAGTTTATATATAATGGTAAACAAATTAAATTATACGTTTATTAGACAAGCATTTTACAAGAAAAATCTTCAGCCGCAAACCTACTTATCCAATTTATTACGAGTTTATATCATGCTGACCCACACAATATTAGTTTGCTATACTACATACGTGTTTCCTAGTCCTAGAGACATTTCTTTTTCTTTTCGATATTTTTGTGTGGTTTCTTGGAGTGGAGGAATGTGTGGTATTTTCCCCTCTGCATCATAAACTGTCCGTATCATGTCTGGATCCATGAGATGAACGATGACGTTCCCTGCAATTGTTTCCTTCCAGATCTTTCCATACCTTTTGTGCAGTTGCAGGAGTCGTTTATGGTATGTGCTCGCTATAACAAGTTGAAAATAAAGATGCATTACTATTGCATTTGCACTTTAACACGAATACTTTTCAATTCGTAGTTTTATTGCTCATATATGCATTGCTAGCACAGTATTGACAATGTACTTGCAATGTACAATAGCACAAATATATTCTCACTTGTAGTTTTATTGCTCATGTATAATGAATTTCTTGGTTACATTCTCTTCTAAAGACCTCCGTCTTTTTTTCCATACAGCATTTTGACATTCCCCGAGTTGTGAATGTCTCTCCAAAATAATAAGCATTTGTACACATTATCCATCAACTTGCCCAGTTGAATTCTGAAGTGCATGTCGGCCCACACTCTATTTCTACAACACTCTCTGTGAATGAAGTCTATAGCAACAAACCTCCCAACAAAATAAAAAAAAGCAGGATTTTTTTTACTCAACTGTAAATTACCAGCTATCGTAAAATCACCTGAATGATAAACTGATGAATGAAATGGTATAGTGATCCCACATTGTTTACTGTATTCACTGTATCCTCTCCAAATTTTACATTTAAATGACTCTAGTTGAAGAGTGGAGTCAGTGGGCACAAGAGCAAGGACTACTAGAGCCATGTATACCCACTGATGTTAGCCAGCTAGCTAGCTAGATAGAGAGCATGGTGGTCCAGTAGTTATTTATTTTATTTTATTAATTAATTTAAAGACAGTACATTTGTAACAGATATGTCAACATGAGCTTGCAAGCTCCTCACCGTCAGTGCATGACCACCGTTCATTTTGAAGGCTGTGAGTTCAAATCTTGGCCAGGCCAGTGAATTTTCTCAAGGTGTAAAAATCTGGCTCTCAACATGGGTGGCCTAGCTATCTTCAGTAATGGAACGTGAGATAGTTACTGAGGACGTAAAACACTCTGGGAAGGACCACCCTCAGTGTCCGTAAAGAGGCCAACCTGGTCTAGTTCTCTAAGGCTGGTGAATAAGACCTCAACTTCATTTACATCCAGATGCACTGCCTTGTATCTATAATACTATACATCCCCATAAGGGACAACAACAAGTCAAGTATAAAAGCAAAACCAAAACAAAACAAACTAGTAATATGTTCATGTTTATACTGAACTAAGGCATCAGCGATTCCCAAGCCTTGAGCTAACTATCAAAGGTTTGCATGTTGACCTATATCTACTCATTCATCGATCCAACCCTGCACCCATCTATCCATCCACCCAGTGTCATGATCAGATCTTGTCAGTGAATAGTATTGCTGAGAGGGTCTATGTCCCCCAGGGTACTGCCGGAACGCACCCTGGTACTATCTAATATGCTGGACCGTACCTTGCCTACTCCACTAACGAGTCTAGGGAGTCGCCTACACCTACTCCCTAACCCTATCAGACAGTTACCAGGGTACGTTCCGGTATACCGGACCGTACCCAGGGTACGTTCCGGCAGTAGCCTGGGGGCATAGACCCTATGAGCAATAGTATTGGTAGTCCGAGCCGACGCAGACCCCAGTAATGATAAACCTGCACCCTCAGATTAGCAAAGCGGAGTAATAACGTCTGCATTTGCGGACTATAGTATTGGATACCGGATACTTAACGTACGCCTTAATTTGTAGTCTAGCATAGTTCCAATATATGGAAGTCCCATGGGCCCGGGGATCTCCGAAAAAGGTTTGGCATCACTGAGCGAATTGTCAGTTCCGATTGCAGGAAGTGGCGACGATAACCTGGTTTTTGAAGTTGAGAAACGTTTGATTGAGGAGATAACCGAGCATATTTCACTTGGCCGATGGTGTCCTGCAAACGAAATTCCGGTACCAAGCTTTAAAATGTGATCATATATCCTATAACCATTGCGTTGAAGATGCATTCTCGCAAATTAATGTAGAAAGACGTATAAAGTGCTGATGTAACGTTTTTGTTTTATTGCCTAGTAGTAGTAGCTTCACGGGCGCTTATGGGCGTCGCCATGTTTGATATAGCTTCGTTTTCGCCCTCTGTAGAAAGTGTCGAGATATATTTTCCATTATTTAATTATTCGCCAGAATATTATTTTGTAAAAACTAGAAAATTTGATGCCACATGAAAAATTATTACTTAAAAAGTTGTGTTTTTCCGAAATACAAACCAAACTGTAAAAACTACGTGTTCGAAACACTTGACATGTCCGGCCGAAACGACGATCTTTGTTCGTGATCTTCGTGATCTTCGTTGATACTCAATGTCTGCAGTGTGTAGATTAGATCTATGGTAGGCACTTATTCAGTTATTGCCTTGTCTGTTTAGCTATAATATGTTTACTGAGTACCATTGGCATTGTTGTCATTGACGGCCCAACACGTGCTCGCTTAGATTGTCATTACGTCAAACGGTCAAACAATTATCTACGAGTACGAGCTAGCTCTACTCTACTATAGTGCGTTCGATTTGCTTCCCCAAGTTAACCTGGGTCTACTCGGGCCAGCCCCAAAT